AGGGTCCTCAAGGGCATTTCTTGCCTGTTACCCTTAAATATACATACATATAAAGGAAAACAATATATGCGATAAGGAATGGAGCTGGCGGGCAAATAGTAATAAAACTTGTAAATGATGTTTGCTCGTAACCCCCGTTGTCAAGAGAAAAAAACTGCAGGTATTTTAATGATAGTAGTTCGAGACGGGGAAGGATTGGCACAAATGTACATTGTTTTCTGTTTACTTTCCGTATTAAAGAAACGGTATTTTGACCAGATACAGATTTGTCGGTGAACGGTTGCTCGCTGTCGGCTGAAGTATTAGTCGGTTGTGGCCTGCAGATTCAGCACCATTGCGTTCTGGATGAAGCCTGGTTCCGAGTTCGCGATCGTCATCAGAGCGAAGAGACATTCCATCTATGCAGCACAAAAAATTCGCGAAAGATGTCATTCTTTCATGTGCAAAGGTGCATGTCAACATATGTTATGCATTTGACGCAACAAATATTTCTTCTAAATAAGGGTTTCTCGAAAATAGCATGTAATAATATAGGAAAATTATTTTGCAAGACCACAGAGATCAGATGATATTAAAGTGACCACTTCTAAACCGATCCAGTTTCTCTTTAAAGATAGCAACCGAAGCGGATATAACAGCATCCAGGGACAGAACATCCCACGCTTCCAACACTCTGTTGCAAAAGATGAAAATTCGTTTGAGGTCGTAAACTATAATTCCATTTACTGTCATTTCTCCCGCACCGCTTAATTTTTGTTCTATTTTACATCCGTTTTCCATGTATTGGCTAACTTTCTGTCGCTCTGGCTTAACCGTTAACATGTGTCAATCTGTTAGCTATCCTGCCCTCAACACTCTCATCAAAAGTTTGCTGAATACTCTACTGCTTAGCCTGAGCTTCGTCTCATATACATCTTAGTAGAATATTAACGAAACGTTGGGAAACCTTTTGTTCTATATCTTTGAGTTAACTCAGTGGAATTCATCAACTCGGGTAATTTGTTATGTCGGCTCGATCATTTCAAGCGCTAACAGAAGTGGGTAATTTAAAAATTCAGGCGTATAGATTTTTCGCCCTCCGGGGGTGCTTCTAAACAAATGGCGGTCGTCCCGAATGCATTTCCTTCACTTGTTGAGATTGTTAAAACTTGTGAAGAGAAATTGCGAAAAATTTTCACCCTCTGGAAAGAAATGGGAGTCGAAGGAGAGCTTTTAACGCAGCGACAGGATACGTTGTCCTGGCATTTGGGCCGTCTTCTGGATGATATGTTCGAAGAAGAGACTTCTACAAGAGCTGCCCTTTTAGAGGCTGTTAGAGATTTGGAAGTATGCAGAACTTTCTCACATTTTTTAAGATAAAAATTAGTGAATTTGATATTGGTTTGGTGGAGGAGAAAAGTCCTGATTCCACTTCACTGCCCCTTCTCCTTCGCGAGCGTGCACTATATAATGAGTACAAGTCCTTGTGTCTCAAAGCATCTGAGAATATGAATACATTTGAGCTCCTCTCTCGTGATCAAGAAAATCTTTGCCATAGACTTGGCAAGTCTCCCATTACTGTGTCCTTTAAGAAAGCCCCGTCGACTACTCAGCTCACTAACCTTCGAGCGAACATTAAGATGTTAGAAGAAGAAAAGGTATGCTGAGTTGGTAATTTTATGTTCGTAGAATGCGCTTGTTAATGACCTCAGTCATATCAGGGATGATATACTAGCTATGGCCTCCTCACTAGGTCCTATGATCGTAGAGGATACCCTCCTCACAAACATAGCTTCCATTCAAAATATCGACCTAGAGACGACGCCACTTAGTGAGGCTTTTTTTGCTGGCTTGAAAGACTGTCAGCGCGCGCTAAAGGAGAAGGTCTCTTGCGCTGAAGAGGAATATGATCAAAACACTTCTCGGATAGCTGAAATGCAGCGTCGTATGAGTATGCACATTATATCTCTCGATGATATTGCACGCGGGAAACTGTTCGAAGTTTTGGAGAAGGTGAGCAATGTGCTGCCGGTAGAAATTACCGTCTTAGACCAGAGTAGGTCTTAAAGAACTGGAGTCTTTGCGCCGTGAGAACTTAAAAACTCTTTTACAGGCTGCACACGAAGAACTTATTCAGTTACAGGAGGCCTGTTTTCTCCCCAACAATACCAACTTTTCATCTGACTTGATTGATTTGAATCCATCTGAAGACCTCCTTAACAAACTAGAAGCCGAAGTCCGAGCACTGAATGACTACAAATCGGAGAAGTCGTCCATTATATCTGCGTTCAGGAAGTGGCAGACCAATTTCGTTCGACTTACCGAGGCTAAGGTAAATTATAATCTAACACTAAAATAGACACGTAATAGACGCCTTGTTTTTATTTCTTGCAACGCGCTTTTAAGAATTTAATCTGAAACAGAATTCGTAGTTGGGTCAATTAGTTTGAGCAAGGCTAAATTTGTCTTTTCATTCTTATGAGTTTTTTTGCTATTTTTCACCACCGTAAAACAATTTGTTCGAGTAGTTTTACAAGTGCCATCGTTTATTGTCCCTAACGATTGAGCCTCAATGCGCGCACATACACATATCTATTAATCACTTAACTTGATTGTCCTACGCGATTTGTGAAGTTTTAGTTGAAATCGAACAGTCAGATAACCTACTTCCTGACTGTCCTGTCACGGTGCCATCATCGGGACTTGCAGTGTCAAATAATGCATTCTGTGTGACATGTTACTCTTCTCGTAAGGGCGAATATCGCTGTTATTCCGTGGCTGTGTGATGAATATTTAGTGGTTTCCCGTCATTTCCGTCATGGT